CTCTGGTCTCCAGCCGGACCCCCCCCTTCCGCCTCCTCCAGGGGCTCTGAGGCTACTCTGGACCCCCAGCCCCAAATACCCCTGGGGGGGCCCTTAATGGCCCCTCTCTTCTTGTTCGCTTTTTTTCCTATTCTTTTTAAAGGCAGTCTTAGAATTACAGGGTCATGGAGTGGGAAGGGGGGGCCTCCAAAGGTACCAGGGGCGGTTTCCACCTCTCCCCCCCCCCTCAAGGCAGGAATCCCAGTCCCAGCAGATTTGACAGGTGGGGCCTCAGTTTCCTCTCAAAAGGGGAAAACAAAATAAAAATAAGAGTAAAAATAATAAAAAAGGGCAAATCCTTTAAAGACTCACTTTTAGATTAGGGGAGGCGAGCTTTTGGGGACAAGCCCACATCCTCAGACCTGAGAGGTGACTTAATTTTCCCTTGCTTTCCTCATGGGAAACAACCTCGGGGATGGTTTGCAAGGCTGTGGATGAAATAAGACGATGAGGGAAAAAATTAAAAGTGACCTGAAGTACAAAGCAGTATTGAAAGGCTGTGTAGTTAAGCGACTGAGCAGAGGAGAGAGGACCGTCCCCCTCAGGAAATGGCTGGACTCTGTTCTGCCTGTGGTGGATGGAAGCCCTTGCGGTTTTCGTGCCCAACCGTGTGCCTAAGTGGAGTTGAGGGCCCAGAGAGCCACTCTGCCCCCCCTCTTGTTCTTGATCTGAATAGCAGAGTTGCTGAATGCTTTTCTTTTTCTGGGAAAAAGATGTATAATAAAAGCTGACTGGAGAGATTAGTGGTTTAGTTATCTCACTGTGGAACCAGAGGTTGGGAGTTCGATTCCTCCTGTCGGAGAAGCCAGCCTGTGTAGCCTTGGGAAAGCTACACTTTCTCAGAGCTGCCCCATAAAAAGGGAATGGGAATTGTCTATCTAGTAAACCCCCGGAAAGGGTTTCCCATGACTCAGAATTGACTTGACGGCCCATTATGATGATAGATAGATAGATAGATAGATAGATAGATAGATAGATAGATAGATAGATAGATAGATAGATAGATAGATAGATAGATAGATAGAAACCTGTGCTGTGGCATTGAGTAGTGGTTAGAACACTGGATTATGGCTCAGAAGATCTGGGTCAGCCATGGAACTGAGTTACTTTGGGGGACAGCCACACACTTTCAGATCCAACTACTGTATGTTGATCCTGTTTCATAGGAATGTTGTGAGGGTGAGAGCCGCAAACACCACCTTGAGCTCATTGGGGGAAGGTGGGATATAAGTGTAACAAGCAGGTAAATAATAACAATTAAAAACTTCCCTGGGTTGAGTCCAGTGCCTAGGGATGCTGTTGCAAAGTGTAGACTGCAACAATTAGGTCTCTGTGGTTTGTGACAGTGGAGTGTGTCTATGTGTAACGTGTAGCATGTAACGTTAAGACAGGATGTTTTGTTTGAGCAAATGTTGGTAGTAGGAGATATACAGTACTTGAATCATGTTTGTGTGATAATTTTCAGGATTTCAAAAGGTCCAGAGAGTAACATGGGGAATCTAACACACAATATTGAGTGGAAGTCTAGGTAGAACTCTTGCTGGCTCTTTGCCTTTTCCCACTCTTGTCTCTTCTCATGTGTAGGCATCTGTTGTTGCTTGCTGTATATTTTCTTACATTCTAGCAAGGAATGGTCCCCATCCTGTTCCTGAATTGACAATGCCATACTGTAATAAAACTGAAGATGCATCTAGCTGAAACAAATATGTTTTTAATAGTAATAACAACAAAAACAACAATAATGCATAACAATATAATATAATATTGCATAATGATATTGCATAATAATAATTATGCAAGAAATATAACTTGCCAGCTCCAGAATATCAAGTAGAGAAGGTGTCAGAAAATGAGGAAATCAAGGTCTTGTGGGGTTTCTGGATCCAAACTGATAGACACCTTGAACATAACACACCAGACATAGTAGTAAGAAAATGAAGAAATGTCTGGATCACTGACATTGCAATTCCAGGGGATGGAAATAAAGAATTGGAAAAACCAACCAAGTACAAAGACCTGGCCATCGAAACATCTTGCCTCTGGAAGAAACACACTTCAGTGGTCCCCTCAGTCACTGGGGCTTTGGGAACAATATCAAGAAAATTCACTCAGTCCTATAAGCAGTTGCAGATCTCAGCGATCACACCATCAGAGCTACAAAAAACGGCAGTATTAGGATCAGCACACTTACCGTGCCGAGATTTAACAGAGACTGAAGGATACGTAATCAATTTAATCAATAACCTTATAGCTGCAGAGCTGGAAGGGATGCTGTGGATCAACGGGTCCAGCCTTTATCAAGGAGGTTATATTGGAGAATCAAACTCCCTATCTCTTTGGCTCCGCTGCTAGACACCTAAAACACTGAGCTACCCTTACCTCCATTTCCCTCCTATTTGTTGCGTTTCTTTGTACAATTTAATATTTCATGTTATTTCAGAGAGAAATGTATATCTTCCTGTATTTATTTGTTGAAAAAAATGCTTTCAGGGTGCTTTTATTTTTAATTGTAATCTCCTTCAGTAAAGGGACTTTTACAGAGGAAGAAAGAGCTGCCCTGGGTATATGTGTTTCTTTCCCATAGCTGGAAAGAAACACATATACCTAGTTCAGATACCTAAACCGCTGGATAGCTCAGTGATTTAGGTATTTGACGGCAGAACCAGAGGTTGGGAGTTCAGTCCCCCACCCCCCACCCCGGATGCCTCCTGCAAGTAGTGAACTTAGAAAATCTTGAAAATGCTGTCACAGTAAGTGACAAGAACTGACTTGATAGCACGTTGATATTATTATTCCCACACGGTCCTCAGTGTGCTCCTTAAGTGAGCCAAAGGATGTGTGCCAAACAATATCATTCTGATCAGAGCAGCCTTGTGCCTCTGTTTTTAGCTGATAGATGGTAGTACCATTGTGGTTCAGACTAAAATCCCTCGAGAGTCTAGGGTTTTGTTTCCAAGCAGAGATGCTAAGGCTAAGCGGGATTATGAGGGTTGGATTGATATTACTTTTGTTGCAGTGAAAAACAATCTTTTGGTACCTTAAACAAGAATGAGTTTTATTTGGTATGAACTTTCAGGGACTGCAGCTTCTGATGAAATGGGTTTTCAATTCATAAAAGATCATGCCAGATCAACCTTGTTATTAGCCAGGTCATGAAGATGGAGGCCTTCCCTGCTGTTTGCTCCACACATCTGGTATTTAAAAGTGTACTGTGTTCCACTACTGGGGAGCAGTGAAGCTCATTAAGCTTAAAATAGTTTTACGAAGATAGTTACCATCTTCTGCCTGAAATTTCAGTTGTGGTGGCTTGCTGTGTTTGTGAGAACTTTTTGCCAGCCACACACTGCTTTCAAGAGTATTTACTTCACTCTGGGTGGCTAGGGACCGCCCTTATGTGGAGTGTGGCGTTGGGTGTGTTGAGCTATGTCTTTTATATAATTTTCTTTTGGGAGACATTTTTGTTAATTATCTGGGAGTGACAACAAGCTGTGTTTACTACTCTTTTGCTTTTGCAGTGGAATGCTTTGAGGGCCGTATTTAAGGCTCTAAGGAATTCACCTCTGTCCTGCTGAAATAATATTGGATAAACTTTCCAGAGGGAGGTTTGTGTGTAAATCGATCCCTCTTTCTTAAGACAGCGGTTACCCCTGTAAGGTGCTGTCTCTTCCACTCTATTTGGCTTTCGGTTTTGAATTATGTGGCTTGTGTCGCATGTGCTGATAAGCTGATGGATTTGTGTTTGGGTGGTGGAGATAAATTGGGCAGAGTGATCTTTAAACTCATTTGCCTGTGTTACTGTTTACTGGAACAGTATGCCAGTAAAGAAGTCACCATTGGGTGCTCTTTACAGGTGCGAAGCTTTAGAAAACATATCCTCTATCATGCTTTTGGTGCTCTTCCTGAATCCCACACATCTCCCAAGTACATAAAGCGGCATGTCAGGAATGAGTCTTGCCTTAACATGAAAAAGGAGGTTGCAAAGGGGAGCAGATCCCTCATCAACCTTTCTCCTCTACCTATCGATGCTGGGCTGAGAATAAAAGGAATGACTTGGCAACAGGTTGCTGGGATGGGAGGCTTAGTGTGGCCAGATTGAGCTCTCGTCGCCTGTCTGGTGTTTTTCATTTTAAAAATTGGGACCCCCTCGCATACATTGGGGTGAAAACTTGTGACCTTCCTGCTCCATCAGGCAAATCCTCCACAGCTAGTGGAGATGGATTGTGGAAAGTGTCCAACTCCCTTATATGTGATCAGAGCACACACACCTTTAAAGAAATGTGGATGCCATTGTTACATCTAGCTGAATACTCATCTTGCTGTTTTAATGCATTTCTATTAGTTTTAGTTTTATTTCATACAGGTGACAAATAGTGATCTGGTGGAACTCTGCTGCAGTGGTTTGGAAGCTTCTGTGTTTTGGATGTGTCTGGTTTTTTAAAAATTGCTAACAAATAACATAAGAACCTCAGAAGAGACCTGTGCTGGATCAGGCCAAGGGCCCCTCTAGTCCAGCTTCCTGGATCTCCCACCAGATGCCTCTGGGAGCCCCCGAGACCACGAGATACCTATCTCCTGATCCCCCTCCCCTGCCTCTGGCATCTGGAGGTCACTTCCTTCGAAGCTCGAGATTATATACATCCCCATCATGGCTTGCCACCTGTGAGATACTTTTCCTCCAGGAATCTGTCCAGTCCCCTTTTAAAGGCATCTAGGCCGGATGCCATCCCCACATCCTGTGGCAAGGGTTTCCACAGACTAACAACATGCTAGGTCAAGAAATATTTTCTTTGGTCTGTTCTCACTCTCCCAACACACTATTGCAGTGGATGTCCCCTGGTGCTGGTCCTGTGTGCGAAGGAAAAGAGCTTCCCTCTCTCCACTTTATAGCCACCCCCTGCCATGTTTCTGAGCTGGCCGAATAGCTCAGAGGTTTAGGTATCCAACTGCAGGTTGGGAGATCGATTCCCCATTCTGCTTCCTGCCAGTAGTCCTGCCATGTTTCTGAGCTGGCCAAATAGCTCAGAGGTTTAGGTATCCAGCTGCAGGTTGGGAGGTCGATTCCCCATTCTGCTTCCTGCCAGTAGAGCCAGCCTGTGTGGCCCTTGGCAAGCTGCATAGCCCCAGGACTTGCTGAGAAGAAGGGGATGGTAAATCACTTCTGTGTATTCTCTACCTAGAGATCCTTGAAAAAGGGTTGCATAAGTCAGAACTGACCTCATGGCACATGATTAGGATCAAAGCTGACTGGATAGCTCAGCGGTTTAGGTGTGGTTGGGAGTTCGGTTCCCTACTGTGTCTCCTGCAAGTAGAGCCAGCCTGGATGGCCTTGGGCAAGCTGCACCATTCCAGGACAGCTCCCCCCAAAATAAGAGATTGGCAAACTACTTCTGAGTATTTGTTACCTACAAAACTTTGAAGAAGGGCTACCATGAATCAGAATTGATTTGATGGCACAGGATTGTCTCTTAACCCTATATTTTTATTGCTTTTGCTCACATGAAGATTCTCACTGGGAGGCAGGATAGGAATTTTTAAGTAAACAAAGGACTCTTGTCCTGGTATTCGAGAAGGCTTTCACAGCCAGGACCTAATGTTTGTTGTGGTTTTTTCGGGCTCTTTGGCCGTGTTCTGAAAGGTTGCTCTTCCTAACGTTTCGCCAGTCTCTGTGGCTAGCATCTTCAGAGGGCAGGAGTCGGAACTCTGTCCATGCTCTGTTCTACTCCTGTCCTCTGAAGAGGCCGGCCACAGAGACTGGTGAAATGTTAGGAAGAACAACCTTCAGAACACGGCCAAAGAGCCCAAAAAACTCACAACAACCATACTCTTGTCTTGCTTATCGCTACTTATTCCCCAACTTCCACTCTTGTCCTTGCTTATCGCTACTTATTCCCCAACTTCCCCGGAATCTAAATTGGGATTGTAAGATCCCTGGAGCAGATTACTGTCTTCTGCTTACATTACTCTGTTAAGGGCTACGTCGACGGGTGATGCTGCTGTGTGATTAAATAATTGTAGTAACTCTTCATAGCATATAAGAGAAGCCATGCACTCTGCAGCTGCCGGAGTTTACCCCTTACCAGGGCGTCTCCACCCTTCCTGTTGAAACCTTTGCAAGTGATTCAGGGGGGGAAAAGATTTGGTTATTTTTGGAGAGCTTGAAGATGGCGATGGTCAAGTCCTTGTTTTCGTTCGATGCTGGCTGCTTTAGTTTGGCCCTGTTTTCTGAGATGACTGAGTTGAAATGATTTGTGCAGGATTGGGGGGGGGGGGGGAAGATAGCCCAATTCTTTCTTCTCTCTGGAACGTGACCCTATCTGCTCCTCAGGTTATGGCTTGGTCATTCCTGGATTGCTCCTGCTCCATTTAATATTGTCTGTCTTCTCATGTAATAAAACGGCAGGACAAACAGAAGTACTACCAGGTTTCCCACCACTGTGGAGAACGATCCCCCCCCCTTTTTTTATGGAGGAAAGCACAGTTAGCAAATTCCAAGTCTTAGCATTCTGGTTGAGGATTTCTGCAAGACGTCTGCCTGGGAGACAGCAAAATTGGTTCAAAACTCTGGGACATGACAAGGCAGGTTATAGGCTTTCCTGAGCCATGAAACTCACTGGGTGACCAGTCGCTCTGACCTACCTCAAAGGACAGTTCTTGCAAGTATAAAGTAGGAAAGAGGAAAGCTGGATGTGCTGTCCGGATCTCATTAAAAAGGAAAATGGAATAAAGTATAAGAGATCATGACTGAGAGGGAGCATTGTGGTGTGCAATATTATCAGTTATTGTGGTCGTTGTGAAGGAAAGGGAAAATCAGTTTGGCTGAGGGGTGCAGAAGTTGTCACTTGGAGTCTTTGGCAGGAGGTGGGTGCCTTAAGACAGAGCCTCGCGACACAGTGGTTAAACTGCTGTCCTGCAGCAAAACCTGTGCTCACGACCCAGGGTTCAATCCCAGGTAGCCGGCTCAAGGTCCACTCAGCCTTCTATCCTTCTGAGGTCGGTAAAATGAGTACCCTGCTTGCTGGAGGGGGGGCAATGTGTAGCCTGCATCATTCACTTGTAAACCGCCCAGAGAGTGCTTGAAGTGCTATGGGGTGGTATATAAGCAGCACGCTTTGCTTTTGCTTCGCTTTAAGGATGCTGACCCACTGTGTGAGCCCCACTGCACCCTCTCTGGTCTCTCTTAAGGGACATTCCCTTCTCATCCCTCTCCAGGTGCATTTCTTCCTCACCTGGGCCAGGTGTTCCTGTCCTGTACCTCTCTCAGTTGCAGCAGCAGCTGGTGCTGAGGGTCTTGCTTGGGTGTCAGAGGGTGGGGGCTGATGGCCTGTTATTCTGGTGGAGCAGAGGATGGAGACAGCAGTGAAGCGATTTCCATACAGGAGCTAGCATTAGGACTGGCTATGTGTAGTTAGTCAAAGTTTTGTAAAATTACGATTTTGGGACTACATCTCCGAGAATCCCCAGTCAGTCAGCACGGACGGTGTATTATTATATCTCAATATTATTATTTCTCATATTATTATGAGAACTAGGGAGCAGAAGTGGCTGTGTGGTCTCACTCAGAGCTTGGTAGGTTTCCTTTTGAGGGCTATAAGTCCTGGCGTACCTAGCCAGCATGCCTGTGGAGGATTCTGGGAGCTGTGCTCCAGAAAAATAACTTTGCCAGCTTCTGCTCTTGAGAAGGGACAACCTGATGGGAATAGGGGAGGAAAGCTTTTATTAAAATAGGCAGCCCCGTCATTGGCTTCAAGTGTCCCACCTCTTTGGTCTTGTTAGCTTTTTGACATGTACGTTGCGTGCAGTCAAGTTGCATCTGATTTACCATAACCCTGCTGGCATTTTCAAGGTAAGTGAGGTATTTAAAGACTGTTTTTTTCTCTTTCCATTATCCCCCAGTGAGTTTCCATGATTGAATAAAGCTTTTGACCCAAATCTCTTGCCTCCTAGTCCAGAATTCTATCAACAACACCACCAGTTGGGTCCATGTATTTACACACAGGGTTTTATCATGTAGATGAAGTAAAAGTGTTAAGAGTACAAAAATTAAAACTGTTCTTCTGCTTCCACGAACAATATATATTTGCGCTCCTCTGATGGCAGGTGGTATCTCTGGGATATGGAACCCCCAGGATGTTCCCGGAATGCTCCCATCCAGGCTTTCAAAGAGGCCCCGAGCAAGCCGTCCCTCCCTCAGAAGAACGCCTATGCTCGGCTCGTCCAGAAGCACCACAGTGGGAGGTTCCGGTCCTACTTAAACCACATTGCTCAGAAGCTTCAGCTGGCAGAGAATACCCTCAACCACTTGGGTTCCGAAGCAGAGCCTTCTTTGAAGAGAGGCCTGGTGAGAGAGAACTTGTTGAAAAATGGAATGAAAGCGCCCGGTGGTTCGCCAGGCCAGGCTCTGCCACCTGGCCAGCTGGAGGAAGGGATGTTTGAGCCGCTGAGTGACGGTCAAGAAGAAGGCTTGCCCAGGAAGCAGCGCCATCAGAAAGATCTCAGCATGGGCAAAGGGGGCAGTGACAATGAAGTTGCGGAAGAAGAGGACCACATCGTCTCGAGAGCAAAGCAGGAATCGGGGCCTCAAGGGACACCATCCCGACAGGCTGGCCTCTTTCCGCCACGAAACTCTGGCTCCACTGAGAGGGACAGAGAGGAGTCATGGTGGAGCAAAGGCGGGAGCAGTGACCCTCCGGTTGCCTTGGACAGAATGGATCACAGCGGCTCTGCAAGACCCTTGGCCAGCCAAACACAGGGTGAGCTGCTCAGTGTTCTAAGTGTGGTTGCAGTGGTATGGCGACATACGGCTTATGAATAAGCTTCCTTCCTTCCTTCCTTCCTTCCTTCCTACCTACCTACCTACCTACCTACCTACCTACCTACCTACCTACCTACCTACCTACCTACCTACCTACCTACCTACCTACCTACCTACCTACCTACCTACCTACCTACCTACCTACCTACCTACCTACCTACCTACCTACCTACCTACCTACCTACCTACCTACCTACCTACCTACCTACCTACCTACCTACCTACCTACCTACCTACCTACCTACCTACCTACCTACCTACCTACCTACCTACCTACCTACCTACCTACCTACCTACCTACCTACCTACCTACCTACCTACCTACCTACCTACCTACCTACCTACCTACCTACCTACCTACCTACCTACCTACCTACCTACCTACCTACCTACCTACCTACCTACCTACCTACCTACCTACCTACCTACCTACCTACCTACCTACCTACCTACCTACCTACCTACCTACCTACCTACCTACCTACCTACCTACCTACCTACCTACCTACCTACCTACCTACCTACCTACCTACCTACCTACCTACCTACCTACCTACCTACCTACCTACCTACCTACCTACCTACCTACCTACCTACCTACCTACCTACCTACCTACCTACCTACCTACCTACCTACCTACCTACCTACCTACCTACCTACCTACCTACCTACCTACCTACCTACCTACCTACCTACCTACCTACCTACCTACCTACCTACCTACCTACCTACCTACCTACCTACCTACCTACCTACCTACCTACCTACCTACCTACCTACCTACCTACCTACCTACCTACCTACCTACCTACCTACCTACCTACCTACCTACCTACCTACCTACCTACCTACCTACCTACCTACCTACCTAAACCCCAGCCATTGCTGACTGGAGGATTCCAGAAGCTATAGTCCAAAAGAGGAGCTTACCCGCATTCTGTCCTAACATGCAAAACAACATTTCCAACAGGGCGCCTCCACATATGCCTGAGTTAATCCAGATTAGCTGTGAAGGTCTGGTGTTTAAGTGATTGAAACTTTTGCCACCTTATGAAGTTGTACTGCTCTTTAAACTGGTGCCTGCCAGCAGGATCCTAGTTCTCCCTAGTAGTTCTTCCCTGCTTGAGTTTGTGGGGGGAAAAAACCCTTGCTGGTGTGTGAAATAAATGCAATTGTATGGTAGTTAGAGCATTCTGTGGCACTGCCCTTCTGTGGGATTGGGACGAAGACCGATCTTTTACAGTCCTCAGGCCATTCCTGGGTTTTCCAAACTTGCTGGCGTATTGAGTGTAGCATCTTAACAGTGTCATCTTTTAAGATTTTAAATAGTTCCACTGGAATGCCATCACTTCCACTGACTTTGTTGTTAGCCATGCTTTCTAAAGGCCCACTTGACTTCACTCTCCAGGATATCTGGTTCAAGGTCAGCAACCACACTATCTGGGTTGTCCGGGACATCCAAATCTTTCTGGTATAATTCCTCTGTGTATTCTTGCACCTCTTCTTGATGTCTTCTGCTTCTGTTTGTTTTTCACTTCCACTGTGTATTCATAAGGGATTTGGTTTAGATTATGACTAGCCCAGTGGTTTTTCCTACTTTCTTCATTTTAAGCTTGAGTTTCGCTATGAGAAGCTGATGATCAGAGCCACAATCAGCTCCAGGTCTTGTTTTTGCTGACTGTATAGAGCTTCTCCATCTTTGGCTGCAGAGAATATAGTCAATCTGATTACAGTATTGCCCATCTGGTGATTTCCATATGTAGAGTGTTGTTGGAAAAGAGGGTTTGTGATGACCAGCTTGTTCTCTTGACAAAACTTGATCATTTTTGAGATATTATCCCAGTACAGCTTTTCCCACTCTTTTGTTGATTATGAGGGCTACTCCATTTCTTCTACGGAATTCTTGCTCACAATAGTAGATACGATAATTGTCTGCATTGAATTCGCCTTTCCCGTCCATTTTAGTTCACTGACGCCCAGGATGTCAGTGTTTATTCTTGCCATCTCCTGTTTGACTACCTCCAGCTTCCTAAGGTTCATAGATTTTACGTTCCAGGTTCCTATGCAGTATTTTTCAGATTTTACATTCCAGGTCCCTATGCAGCATTTTTCTTTGCAGCATCGGACTTTCCGTTCACTTCCTGGCACGTCCACAGCTGAGCGTCCTTTCGGCTTTGGCCCAACCACTTCATTAGCTCTGGAGCTACTTGTCCTTGTCTTCCACTCTTCCTCAGTAGCATGTTGGATGCCTTCCGATCTGAGGGGCTCATCTTCCAGTGTCATGTCTTTTAGCCTTTTGTTTCTGATCATGGGGTTTTCTTGGCAAAGATACTGGAGCGGCTTGCCAGTTCCTGCCCCAGGTGGAACTCTCCACTAGGACCTGTCCGTCTTGGGTGTCCCTGCACGGCATAGCCCATAGCTTCTCTGAATTATCCAAGCCCCCTTCGTCATGACAAGACAGCAATCTGTGAAGGGGATAGCACAGATAGCTGGCTTTAAACAGCATAAAGATATCAAGCATTCTTATTGTTCCCTAGCAAGTATTATGGGCATTCTCTCTCTGTGTTTTTAAATACCTGAGGTGGAGCAGACCTTCTTTCCTTTCTGACTTTTCTGCTCCTTTCGACTGTAGTCTCCCAGTACGTTACAGGTGAAAACAAGAATATTCCTGTGTCCTTGTTTTCTTGTACTGTAGCTAGAAATCATTGCCGGCCTTCTTACTCAGCAATTAGCTGTGTTTGCTGATCCTGCACTAGTTTCTGGTGCAGGCAAGTCAGCAAATTGATGGTAACCCTTTCCTTGTAATTTATTTTTAATTTACTTTCAAGTTTTATGCCCAGCGTTTTTCCCCTTAAGGGCTTTTTACATTTTTCTAGGCACACGTGGAAATATTTAATGGGCTTTTCTAAGAAGATCATTGTTGTCCTTATTAGAACTCAGATTTGTTCAGCAACAGTTACGACCCGGCAGGGTGGGTTTGATTTAAATCCAGTCGATTTAATTCAAAAACAAAATCAGATTTTTTTTTGATAATTTAAATCAAAAATAATTTTAAGATTTAAATCGTGATTTAAAACCATGATTTAAATTGATTTTTTAAAAAAATCATTTTAAGATTTAAAATCGTGATTTAAAACCATGATTTAAATCGATTTTTTAAAAAAAATCATTGATTTTTTTAAAAAAATTCACCTTGCTCCCTGGATAGTGCCGGTAATGCTGAGCTATGAGAGGAAAACGTAATATATATTCTGCTCCAAGAATGCATGGACTAGCAATGTTTTGAAAGCTCTGCGTTTTCATCAGGGGGTAGTAGCAAATGGTTAGGAAGTAGGGATCAAGTCCTGTAAACAGTGGCTGATGTGTCAAAACCTCCCTTGGGTAGGGTAAGTGACTACTTAGAGAGGCCACATGGGATGTGCCTTCCAGTCTAACCCGCAGGTGGCTGGCTAGTCAGGTCAAGCTTGCCCGAGCTTTGTGGAGTTTCAGTTCTGCTGGCTCCACCTTGGCCCTGATGTTTTTGCTTATCGGGTGGTGAAAATGAAACGTAGGTGCAGCATAGATTGGGTGATGAGGTGGTTAAGCTACTCCTTTGGAGTGTCGGAGACTTGGGTAACCGTTGTGCGCTGGGAAATAAACAACCTGGTAAATTTGGCAAGGCACCTAAAGTGATGTGGAGGATTGCTCTCCGTGGCTTCCATCTAGGAAGGATCCAAAAACTTTGAATAGAAAGAAAAAAGAGAAAGAAAAATTCTGATCCTAGACAGAGGCTGAGCAAGAGGGTCTTAAAGTCTGATAGATTTGATCCAGCCCCATCTACCATGTTTCCCCGAAAATAAGACAGGGTCTTATATTAATTTTTGCTCCAAAAAAGCACATTACGGCTTATTGTCAGGGGATGTTTTATATATTTTTTTCATGTACAACCATCTACATTGATTCAAAGACAGTCATGTCATCATCTTCTGGTTGCTGCACAAGGGTGGAGGGCGGGGTTTCACTGAACTGCAGCTTATTTTTGGGATAGGGCTTATATGACGAGCATCCTGAAAAACCATACTAGGGCTTATTTTCAAGTTAAGTTGTATTTTCAGGGAAACAGGTTAGAAGAGGAACACCTTCACCTTTCGGAACGGTGAACCCGTGGGATAGTTAATCACTGCAGTGAGGGTACCTGAGAAGGGCAAAATAAATAAAAACTAATCAGTGAAAAAAAATACATAAACAGGTGCCTCCTGAAAACCAGTTAAAGGTGATAGTTCTTAAGACATTAGAAGACTTTTCCGTTTTCCTTTTGCTTTTCCTTGCTTCTCCTCTGCAGTGCTTCCAAAGGCTAGATTTTTAGACAATGTCTGGAATCTCTTTGCCCAGTTATGGCCCGTGGTCATGCTGGTAGAGGGATTCTGAGAGCTGTCATCCAGAAAAGTAAGGATTCTACTGGGTGGGTCTATTATGGCACAGATGCCACCAGGTCAGAGCATGGAAAGCAGAACTCATTGGAAGCAGAGTTTCTTCAGTGTAGCTTGGCTGTTGGAAATGACCAGGTTCTCCTGAGCACCTGATGTCCTGTACGTCTCAGGATGGTAGGCAGAGCAGGGCCTCCACGGAGAATTGTTGTGGATGGGGGAAAAGCAATCCAGGTTTGCACAGTACCTTGAAGGCTAACTAGTTTGTGATGGTGCAGGTGAGGTTTCCTGCTGTGAATATGGGATTACAGCCAGACTGTGACCTCCCTGTGTGGGTCAACTCATTGATATCATCAATGCAAGGACATCTTGTGTCATCCCTTAATGGCTGTTTGTGGGTGGCCATTCTTAATAAGGTGATTAACACGGTCTCTATTTTGGTTCCCTCCAGTTTCACTGTTTATCACCTACTCCCTGCCCCTTGGCATCTCCTTGACCTGCTAGAATGACTTGGCTGAGGGTGGTAGAATT